ATTAGCAACAGTGCTACCCTAGACGTCTTTGTTGCAGCAACAGCACTGGCAACATCTGCCAAAGATACATCTGCCAAAGAGCTACTTCTTAACAAAACCTCTTCATTGCCCTCCAAGGACTGCAGATATGATTATATTTCTATCTGCCCAGCACGGGCAGGACCCAGGCTCTTGAGTGAAGGAACACTCTTCTCTCTTAAGAAGGTCTCCCATCATTCCTTAATCCCAAGTTAGCCACAGCTCAAGTGTCTTCTCAGTGGGCTTGGCAGAAGCCCCAGATTCCTCTCCCTGCGTCCAGTCTGCAGGATCAGAAGTGCTTCCACGACTCTCACCCAGGCACAGACCGGCTTAACCCAGGCCCCTTGGTAAAAGGGTAAATTTCATCCTAACAACTTCCTGGGGGATGATCTGGAATGACATGCATCTTCCAGGGAAGACATCCAAACAGCCTCAGTCTTCACAAGGAAGTGTCTCTGACCCTTCCCAGCAGCCTAACAAGGCAGCCCTTAGTGGCATGGAAAAGGCACAGGAAAAGGAGCCCTGATTCAGGTTCCAGGCTTCTCCCTTACTAGCCAGGAACCTCGAAAAATAACCACCACCCTAAGCGTCAGGTTCTTCACTTGTAAACTGGGTTATATCTGCTCTGCCCACTTTAGGAAATGGTTATTAAATGGATATTAAATTAATAAATGTGAAAGCTCTTTCAAAATACTCCACAAAGCTCATTCAAAATGCTTAATTGGCAAGTGATACATAATTTAATTAATAAGAGTTTCCTTATCAATGCCATAAATGCTGAGTTTGCGATACTAAATTATTAAATAACTTCTCTGTCCAATTAGTGAGCAAAATATCACAAGGAACCCAGGAGACTTAAGGCCCAATCCTTGCTCCTTATCCATTTACCCCTAGTCAGGATTATAATCTAATTAATCTTACTGCATCTAAAATGAGAGTGGAGAGGACTCAGAACATCATCCAAGCCACAGCCCTCACTTAACAGGGAGGAAACTGAGGCCCAGAAAGGTTAACAATTAAGCAGCAGTGGTTTTAATATTAGCTAACACTAGTGCACGTTATTTGTACAGGCACACAGCAGATATGTGGCCATGCCAGGCCTGAAACCCAAGTGTCCAGACCTCTTGGCCAGGGCTCTTCCCATGAGTCTATGTATATAAATCCACTTCTTTGCATCTGCTGTTAGTCCAGCCTCTGTGTCAACAACTTATGTTCTATGATTCTTATATGAAAACCCTAAAGAACAAGGAGAGGGATAGGGCTATGGCTCAGTGGCAGAGCACTTGCCTAGCATGTGTGAGGCACTGGGTTCGATCCTTAGCACTGCATAAAAAGAAAAAAAAAGGCCTTCTGTCCATCTACAACTACCAAAAATAAATAAATAAATTTCTAAAAAGAACAAAGAGAAACGAAGAATGAGCATGACACAGTGGGCAGAACAGAGAAATATTATAAGAGGTAGCCTAGGGGAAATGGAGGCATTCAAAGAGAAAGGAAAAGATACTTCAAATATAAATGCCAAAGTGAGGATGATCTAAGATGACTGACAACTATTTTAAGATATTCTGCACAGAGTATAACAGCTATGCTGCTCATGGATGTGCCAGGCAATTGCAGACAGAATAAAATTCCTGACACCCAGGATTATTTAGTCAAGTTGAAGGGAGGTGATATTCCCCTCTCCTCCTCAGTCCTTCCATAAGTTGGGATTTAACTGAGAAGAGAGGACTGAAGGGGGAGAGCAGCTCTCTTAGGAAGCCCAGTGGGGCAGCCCCAATAGTCAGTGTCCTCTAAAGTTAGAAAGTGCAGTAAAATAGGGACAAAAGTACCTGCCTCACGGGGTTGCCATGAGGACCATGTGAGTGAACACATGTGGTTACAGACAAGCGTGAGCACTCAGCACATGCTAGAGAAGGGTTTTATTATAATTTGAAGTCTTATATTTCCAGATTACTAGGAAACATCCTTCTGAGCACAAATGTTATCGTTATATTAAAATGACCTCAAATGCAAGGGAAAATGTTCAATATGGACATAATCCAACTCCTGGTATCTGCTTTCACTCATCGACGCACATGTGAGAACTAAAGAGACCCTACATGCCAGGGGCCAAACAGCATGGGAAGAATTTGCTCAAATACCATGTTTTTCACACTTGTACTTTATAGCAATGAGTTCTTTCTTGATGCAAAACACGAGATGGGAGTCTCAAATATAATGCTGATGTGATCACAGCAGGTCTGGGAGGGGTGGAGTAGGGACCTAGAAGGGACCTGGATTCTACCCTTATCCTTTGTAGCAGCCCCTGGGACTCTAAGGAACTCAGGTTAAAAAATAAATTCTCTTCAACTCAAAAGGGTTTTGACATGGTTCTACTTTGAGCCTTTTAATTTTTGAAGTTATAATTCACCTTTAAAATTATGTATATGATTTGCCAGGACCTTTGGTCAAATATTTCCTGCCCACATATAGAAGAGTAAGAAAAGTTCCCCATCCTGTGCTGTCTCCCTTGCCAGAGTGGGCTGAGCCCAGATTCACAGGGTGTCTGCTCCAGGGCTCTCAGCAGGCCAGCGGGGTTGCCCTCTCAAAGGCAGACATCCAGCATCAAAATACCAGGGTCATCCCTTGGATCTTTGACTCCTGATCCCAGCATTTAAATCCTGGCCATTACACAAGCAGCAGGAGGGCATCAGCCGTGCCACATTGTCCAGTGGGGAGGAGATGTCAACAAGGGTTTAGAATCCCAAGCTGTTTATCTCACATTGAACCTGACCCCACCTCAGAAGAAGGCTGGCTCAGCCCTGGTTCTAAGGAGAGCTGCAGGTTGGGCCAACAGTTGAGGCATGAGGAAAATATCAGAAAACAAGAAGAGGATAAAAACAAAGGAGCGGCTATTGATAGCCAAGGACTTAAAATGAAATAAAATTCCATCAACGCTTTGTGTAAAACTGGATACCGGGCCCAGGTTATCCCCAAGATTATAAACACCCACTAAAGTTTTCTGCCACAAATAGTCCTACCTCCCCACTTGGACACAGTCCCTGCCTCCCATAAGCCATTTCTCCAACTTTTTTCTATGATTGGCTTTGGAACGGATGCCCCAGGACCCCAACTCCCAATGACTGTCTTCCAGAATCAAAATCAAATGCACGGGGTTGTTTTTTCAAATCCTCACTGTTTCTTCCCCCCACCTTAAATAACAAAAATAACTCTTGCTTGTTATAAAAACTCAAATTCAGAGATATAAAATTTAGGAAGTGGAAAACTTTTGAAATCCCAGATTCCAGCCATAGCCATTATTAATAATTTGGGAAACAAAAATTTCATGTCATTTATTTTTATCTAATAAAAATATATAGAACCTACATATCTTAATAGAAACTGGTAAGAAATGAGATTTTAGTTTTATATTGTATGCAATAAAATTCAAATGTTCAAAAACACTGTTTACCCAGTATTAGGAACTTTGTAAACAGTTGCAATATCTAAGCTCTTATGCCTGATCCTCAAAAATTCATATGTAATGTATTTAAAAGTTTATAATGTTTAGGTAGTTGATGAATTGGGCCGGAAATTCCAAACTGCAAAACTAGTTGGAGCTGAATTACCAGGCAGTCATTGCATAGAACCAGCTTCATCATTTGCAAGATCCATTGCAAAACAAAATAAGGGCTTCAAAGTATTAAGAACGTCAAAACTGTAATAGTAGATTTGATATAAGGAGGCTGATTCATAGTGGGATAGGGAGCGGGAGCATGGGATGATTAGATGAACTCTAGATAGGGCGGAGGGGTTGGAGGGGCAGGGAGGGGCATGGGGTTATTAATGATGGTGGAATGTGATGATCATTATTATCCATAGGTATGAAGACACGAATTGATATACTATGTATACAACCAGAGATATGAAAAATGGTGCTCTATATGTGTAACAAGAATTGTAATGCATTCCACTCTCATATATAAATTTAAAAAAAAAAACTGTAATAGTAGAGCATTAAATAAACAAAAAGTCTCCCACCTTTTTGCAATCATGGAGAGTGAAGCCTTATTTGTTCTACCACTGAGCTATATTCCCAGCCCTTCTTATTTTTTGAGACAGGGTTTTGCTAAATTATCTAGGCTAGCTGCAAATTTACAATCATCCTGCCCCAGCCTCCCAAGTACTGGGATTACAGCCATGTGCGATGGTGCCCAGGGGACCCTAGAATGAGGCCAGTCTTGCTGATGCACATAGATTAAATATATGCCTATCAAACGTTTACTTTATATTTTTATGGGCTTTCAGTATAGCATGTTTGCCTTTAAAACCCCTCATTGTCTTTTCTAAAAATGTGTAACTTTCTCTAGAAATAAATTGGCAGAATGGCAATAAAGGCCAGAATAAACATTTAAAATCAGGGCAACTCAGCTTGACCTTGGTTAGTATTGTGTATATTGATGTATTTTCCAGTTGAAATGAATTGCCATGTGGCTAATATTGCAAAAACACACCACGTTCTGGAATATCATTTAGCATAAATAAAATCTTAAGCTCCATTTTATATCATCTCTGAGATTATTTACGACATAAGATACTTTTGCAGGACAGGTTTATAATACCCTCTCAATTTTTTTAACTTAAAAAAAGAACATCCTTTACATTACTCCCCAAAAGTCATCACTAAATAGACTTCCATTTAAAAAAACAAAAAATCTTATCACTTGGCAGATTAAACTGCATAAAATTAAGAATTCTCTTTAGCCCCTTTTAAGTGCAACAGGTTCATTTTACAACACAAAATTGCCATGTAGCCATCCTAGAGCCTCCCTGTCATTTAAACATACTCCCTATTCACCATGAGCTGTATGGTGCATAAGAATAGCTCAATCTTTTATACATGATAAGAATACCGAGAATTCCTTCTTAACTGCTATAAAAGGCTCCCGGAAAGCCACCAAAAGGCTTGGACCACATTCCTTGGTGATTATCAGTAGGAGGAGGCAGAGTTAGGACAGGGAAAGAGGGGAAAGTGGCTTATTAACATCCCCGACCACAACCAAGCCTCTTCAATTAGGAGAAACAGCTGCAGAATCTCGGCTCCCCCAACCAAGAGGTACCACTTTATTTCTGGGGTTTGCCAATAGACAGCTCAACACCATTCTGAAATCCCCCCACCCTTTCAGCCCAGGAGAGAGCAGTGGAATTTTCTCCACTTTGAATGGACACATCTCAGATGCTCAGAATTTGTTCAAGCTTTCTCTGAGTCACTCAATGAATGCTGCTTACAGAGAACTGCTTTGTTTCCTGGGAGAGGTCAGAAAGAGGACCAAAAGGGAGGTAGCTCCGTGACTAGTCATCCTGAGCCCCCTCCTCCAGGTGCACAGCTATCCCAGAGACTCACAGAAACCACTCACTAAAGATGAAGAAGGAAATTTAAAAACCTTCCAAGACTCCAGGCACTTTGTGTGGGTCATATATTAATCCACACAAAACCTACCATTTTGCAGAGGCAGCAGCTATACATGGCCACTTAGCTAATATACTCAATGTCACACAGCTACAAATCAGCAGAGGTGGGCTCTAAGCTCAGATCAACAAAAATCCCAAAGTCCCTGATGTTTGTACTCCATTAGTGGTGAAACCCAGTGTAGGCAATGCAGACACTCCAGCGGGGTCTTGTCTCTAGAGAATTTTAAAACAATAATAAAATGACTAAAAGACATCTCCTTTTCTAATTATCAAGCATCAGCCATTGTAAACAAAAACAAATATTTTGCCTGTTTAGGTTCTAAATAATGATTGCAATTACTGTTGAAATTTGTATGTGTGTGTGTGTGTGCGTGTGTGTGTTTGTGATTTTTCTATTATTTAATATACATGGTATTTACATGAAAGTTATTTGGAGAACTCCTAACTCTTCAGGTTCACATGGAAACTCACACTCGATTGAGAAAATAAATTTGTTAGAGTTCAGAATTTTCCAATTCCACCTCGGACACAGTTTGTGTCTCCAATCCATGCAATACTAGATATTCTTGGGTTTAAACAGATTTGAAACAAATAGTGATCGTAGTGATTGTAAAAACAAAGAGAACACTATGTGACCAGCTGGTACTTTTATTTGTGTTTAAAATGCAACACAGTAAATCAGCAAACTTGCTTGGTAAGCACAAATTTTAAATCAGGTGTGGAACATTTATTGAGTTTGAGCAGTATCTTTAAAACTTAAGTGTATTCTTCTAAAATCATTCATTGTTTACAAATTAAAGGGAAACCAAGAGCAAATGTTCACAGCAGCTTCATTCCTAAGAACCTCTCCATATTTCAGTTTATTCCAGAGAACCCGCAGTAAGTTGTGGACTCTGATCCCAACCTAAGCAATCTGCATCAAGAACTCTCTCTCTCCTGAGATGTCTACATTTCACCCCTAAAGGTAAGCAGGTGGATGAGACTTTAAATCCTGAAGGTTCCCAAAGTCCAAAAGAAAGTATGACAAATCCTTAGGATCATAAAGCCAGTCTTAAATTCCACATGCTCTTGACTTCAAAGGAAATAAACAGAATTAATGGATTCCAAAGTAAAACCTCCCACCGTGTGGGTGGATGAATATTTTCAACACTTGAGAGCAACCTGCCACTTTCGCCAGCAGAGGTTGGAAAACAGAGAGAAGCTTTGAGCATATTTGGGGCCACATTTCAGAGAGAAAGAGTGAGGAGCCATAAAAAGCAAATGCATCTGGGAGTGGATAAGAAGGGAAAGCTGAGGCTCACTGAAACAAGACCATGTAATCAGTTTATGCTTCACACTCAATTGCCTGGCTCGGCAGCCCTCCTGCCCTATCACTAAGGCCCATATCTCTGCTGGCTCTCATTCTCTTGGAACAGCTCTCCATTAGCTCCCTGACTTATCAGCTTCAAGCCCACAGGCTCTTATAAAGGCTCACGAATGTGAGCCCTGGGTGCTGAAACACAGAACTTATGTGGCATTCTAGGGCAGGCCTATAGCGAGGCAATCTGCCTCAGAAGATTTTCAGATTATCAAGTGGGGAAGACAGGAATGTCACGGCCTCTATGGGTGGACATGGGGACATTCATCAAAAAGACAGCTACCATGAAATCGCTGTCTCCATTTCCCACTAGAATGGTGCAGAGCTCAGGTTTGTACATAGGCCTGTGTGTGGGGACGAGCATGCATACAAACCCAAATTACCATCGTGGAAAAACCATTTCCCAAGTGGGGCAAAGGAGGGCTAGACCCATACTTTTCAAAAAACAAAGTACCAACCAGAAGGGCACTGTAACTTAATGCTAATTGGGGGAGCACTGGCTCGCACAGTTTTCAATCGTAAATTGCTGTGAACAGCATGTCCCATGTGGTCCAGGCTGATGCCATGTACCATTTGGAAATCAGGAAATGGCTACCAGGAGTAAGGACCAGACCTCATCAATTTGTAAGGCAGGAACTCTGATTCTCTGTCAAACTTTACCCAGCAGCTGATAAAAATTAAGCCCAACTGTGAACTCTGAGCTGGAAGAAACAAGGAGGAAATGAAATTCTTCACAGTCTGTGATTCTGAGATAGAACCACTGGGGATGCTGTTGAGAATGGTGACAAGGAAAATGGAGTCTCAGCTCACTGTCAGGGCCCCAAATGACTCAGGTCTATGTGTCAATTTTCATAGCTACAGGGCATTTCCTCTGTAACAAGGTTCTGAAATTTTCCTCAACCAGATGAGAGGGTCAATGTTGCCCACGGCCCCTCCCCACACCCCATTCTTGCTTTAGTTCCCAAAAGGCATGTGAAGAGCTGTCCTAAAGCCCCTGCCACCACCTGTCAAGGAAGCCACAGGCATGAGAACAAAAACATGGGATGTGGCAAGGCAGAAGGATGGAAAGACCCTGGAGCCTAAAGTCCCTGCTGAGCCACCACACCAAGCCTGGACCATTTGTCCCCAGACTTCTTGTTAAGTAGATGATAAATGTTCCTCTGGTTTAAGCCACTGTTTGTTGGGTTGTTTTATCTGGCAGCCAAACATCTACTTGGTACAGCTCCCCCATAATGATTTTGGTCAATAATCATACTCTCATTACCAGTGTCACTCCCTAACTGGCCCAAGTCTGAAACTTGGATGAAACCCCTAGTTCCCCTTATCTAAATCTCAGGCCCTCATGGGGAAAAATGTAGCACTATCAACCTCGCCAACCCTGTCACCTGGAAGTCTGGTGTGGGTGCCAAAAGCACAAGATAAATACAAAGACACAGAAATCAGTGGGAGAAGGGGAAAGGACAAAACAGGAGACTTTTTTTTTTTTTTTTGAAACTTGCAGCTGACCCTTTAGGTTGGGGGATCAGGTGCCAGTCAGCTGCAAGTTTGTTTTGTTTTTTTTTTTTTTTTAGAGAGAGAATTTCAATATTTATTTTTCAGTTTTCGGCAGACACAACATCTTTGTTTGTATGTGGTGCTGAGGATCGAATCCGAGTCGCACGCATGCCAGGCGAGCACACTACGGCTTGAGCCACATCCCCAGCCCTTAAAACAGGTGACACTTAAGGTGTGGGGGAGAGACAGGAGACAGGTGCCTTTTAAAAATGTGTTTTTGGTATTTTTAAAGGGATTCCCTCATGCTTTTAAAAACTCGGTGTGTTCTGAGTAAGAAGCTATTGTGTGCTGGCTCTCCATTGTCACATAGTTCTGGAAAGGCTGAATCCCATCCGCTGACCCCTCGGCTACATGGTACAGACGTGTGAATGACCAATGGCTTCTTCCATTGCTGGTGCATGACTTGGCGGGGCAAAGCATATTTTACATTAGCTTAGGTCCTGACATTCTATCATGTTCCCTGTCGAGAGGCCAACTAGTTCTTGGAACCCTGCACACCAAGTGACATATCACAGAACCCTAGCAAACGAGAAGGCTCTTTGCCAAGTGTCCTTAAACTACAGGCTCCCCTTCCCTCTCCCACTTTGACTGCAGCGGTCTGGCTGGCGGGGCTGAGCAGAAACCTGCTAAGGAAAGGTCACCATCCCGAGTTGGAGAATATAATGCTAAGTGAAGTAAGCCAGTCCCCAAACACCAAAGGCCGAATGTTTTCTTTGACATGAGGATGCTGACTCATAATGGCCATGGGGTGGGGGTGGGGGGACCTGGGAGGAATGGAGGAACTTTAGATAGGGCAAAGGGGAGGGAGGGGAAGGGAGGGGACAAAGGGGTAGGAATGATGGTGGAATGAGGTGGACATCATTACCCTAAGTACATATAGGAAGACACAAAAATACTTTGTGTAAATCAGTGACTTGAAAAATTGTGCTCTGTATGTGTAATATGAAATGAATTGCATTCTGCCATCATGTATAACTAATCAGAATAAACAATTTAATTTAAAAAAGAAACAAAAAGGTCACCATCCTTTCCCAACACCCAAGTCACGGTTCAGGGAGGCCACATTACACAGTGTGGGACTATCTGCAGTGGTCTCTCTGGCAGTCGTTACCACTGCATTCAGGGGCTAAAAGTGGCACAGAGCTGGGTGCTCTAGGTTCTCGATGGAATGTGGCAGAAGGCTGAAGGAACAGCCATCAAAATGACACCTTCCCTGTCCCAGCTCCAAGCTGTCTGCCGTCAACCTTCTTGTGCCACCCCAAGGGATGCTCTGTCAGGCTGTAAGGGGAGAACCTCCAAGGCCACCTCACATGACACTGTCTGGAATGCCTGTGGCCCGACAGCAGGAGCACCAGTGCCCTCATCACAGGGTGTCAGTGCTCTCCCAAGGATGACAGGTCCCCAAGGACGGGCAGGCTTCCCACCAGGCTCCTGCCACAAGGGCACCTCCTGGTGAGGAGGCTGGTACTTCTCTCAACTGCCCTCCACTCTGGCCTCCCCACAGCCTCTTCTTCTAGGACTTGCTTCATTCCAAGCCCGCTGCCTGTATCATCTGTGTGCTCAGAGCTGCTGCAGCAAAGTCCAGAGAGTAAAGCAAAGCCTTTGCCCGTAGAGCGTCTAAGAAATAAGATCTGTTTTTTTGTCTTTTTCCCCCACTTCTTCTTCTTCTTCTTTTTCAATTTGAGGAATAAATGGTGCAGAACCGCGTGGTGGTGTGGGAATTGTATGGCTGAGAGCTCAGAGGAGGGCAGGAGCACAGGAGGAAGGCTGGTCAGCAGAGGCTTCTTGGAGGAGGTGGGGCTTGAGCAAAGTCTTGAAGGTGAGATGAGGGCCCAACGGGAATACAGAGTGGGTGCTGGGGACAGCAAAAGTGTTATGGTTCCTAGGGACATGGTGGGCTCTGGGGCCAGAAAATAATCAGCCTGTTGGCTCCATGACAGAGGGAGGAGTGGAAACACAAGGTGGGACTGTGCCACTTTCTACACTGGAGTTGACAATGCATCAGTCCTTCCTCCGTGAACACCTGTTTCCTGTAACCTAGCATGTGCCTGGCTCATAGCTGGTGCTTAATTAATGCTAATAAAGGAAGGAAAAATTATTAAGCACCCTCAGCCATGCTGGGGGCCCCAAAACCAAGAATCAAAACAATATTCAAAGGCAGGAATTGCAAACTCAAATGCCCCGATGGTCAGGAGGACACAGGTCTAGCTGGCTGGGAGAGAGCAGTAGAGACAGTGGAAGAGTGGACACCCATCTTCAGAGGGACAGTCCCTACCCAACTCTAGTCCAGTGTTGCTGCCAAAGGCTGTGAGCCCAGTGCCACCAGGTCTTTTGATTGATAAGTGAAGTCTCCTGGTTCTTAGATGTTTACAACGAACTCTTTTAAAACGACAAACTTCTTGAACCAAAGAAAACATATTGCCAGAATAATATTCAGCCCCTTAGCAATCTTTGGCTCTATAGAATTTTTTTTTTTTTGGTTCAAGAAGTTTATAATCTAAAAATCCTCCCCCAACAAAACTAAACAGAGATGAGAATGGGGGTTACTTTGGTAAGCTGAGGATTGGAAGGGGTGTCTGGGAAGGTGGAGATGCCCAATATTTGATCTGTGTGGCGATTACATGGGTGAGGGATTTAAAAATTCATCAAGCTGTGAATTTAAGAGTTGTACACTTTACTATATGTAGGTTATAACTCAATTTACAACGGAAAAAGATAAGTGGAGTCCCCAGTAGCTGAACAAACCACCCTGTACAGTGCTTCAAGTGGTGCTGCTCCTCTGGCTTCAAATTCCCTCTTGTCACCCTATTGCCACTCTATCTACACTATAAGACAATCCTGGCTGCAATTCCTCCAGGAAGATTCTCCTACCCTCCCCCCAGCCCAGGTCTGCTGTTGAGCCATCTGGGTGCTCCCAGAGCCAGCCCCATAAATATCACCATCACCCCCCGAGGAATCTAGAAGGTGATCCTCCTTATGCACCTCTCTCAGAGCTCCTGAGGTCCTGGGGACAGGACTGTGCTTGCTGTAGTCCAGGACTAGTGCAGGGGGCATTCAGCAAAGGTCTGATATGACATCTCTGCCTCCTCCAACCATCAGCAAGCAGGAGGAGGCCTCCCACCCCAGCCCATCTCTATTTCTCCAGAAGACCCAGATGTAGCTGAGAATAGAATGTGGAAACAGGCAATCTGGAGGAAAAAATACACATACACACACATACACACACACACACACACACACACACACACACACACACCAGAGGGCTACCGAGTCCTCAAGAGAAGATGGAGGGCAAGGTGTGGGGTGGGGGGACTTGTACACTATAACTATATGTAGTTATAACCTGCATATAATAAAGTGTACAACTCTTCAGTTCACAGTTTGATGAATTTTTAAAGGATTTTAACACATGATTCTCCTGCAATCAGCTGCAGAGACTTCATACTGAGGAAACAGCGTGTGTGTGCAATTCTTAAATCACCTGCCTGGCTGGAAAAAACCTCTAAGCCAGTGGTGCCCAAATTTCAGCAGCATCAGAATCCCCAGAAGGTCGGTTAAAAAAAGATTCCCAGGCCCATTCCAGAGATTTGGTAAGCAGGAACCGGACTGAGAACTTGATTCCTAACTAGCTCCCAGGTGATACAGATGCTGCTCGTCCAGAGGCCCCTATCAACGGCCCAGGACCAGACATCAGTGGTGTTCTTTCATTTGCTCGTTTAACAGACCTTCTTTAGACCCGTGCCATGTGCAGAGCCGTGTGAATGATGCAGACATAATTAGATCCAATGGTTGTGCTGTCACCTCTGGTCACCAGAAAGTGAACTGCTACTTCTCTGTGCCCTTCCCAAGATGTGCTGCTGAAGCAGAAAATGACACCCACTTTCAGTCACTCCTCAATGCTCAGATGGTCTCAGATTCAAACTCATGACTCTGAGAAGAAGGTTTTCGAAGTCCACTCCCATCAGCACATGCATCTGCTTCCCCAAAGGTCTCCTGTTAAACTAGCCATTTGCCCAGGTCTGCCTTCAAGAGATGGTCCCCTCATTCAACCAGAGAGGGATTGACTGTAGTTTTGTGTGGTCAGACTGGGCAGGGGGCAAATGAATTTTCCCAGAGACCATGCCAGCAAAGGGTCTCCTGAAGTGCCGGAGGGCAGAGGCAGGCTTCCAGCAGACAGGCAAGCACACTGCTCTGAAATAGCACCCTTCCCCTGTCCCGGGCAGGAGGAGCATCCTGACGATCCTGACGTATTTGGTTACGCGTGAGTGCCTGGGTATTAAATCTAAATGGCCCATGATATGGAATGCCCAGGCAGCATGCACTTGGATTATTTATGCCCTCTGCACCTGTGGAAGCTGAGATTTAATTATTTATTTCGTGTTAAGTTTCCAATCCTGGGCTTCCCGTCTGCAAAAGAATAAAGCACCTCAGTTAAACTGCAGGGACTTAAGATCAACACTCAGCAGGCGCCGGAAAACTTAAGGACTTTGTCACCCAGGATGTCATCTTCCTCCCTACCTAACAAGATCCTAGCAAAATTCAGTCATGTGTGGAAGTTTTAAGAACACTTTGAAGTGACAAACCTGAAAAATTCAGCTGAGGCCTCTCAATGAACATGTAATTCAAGAGGCAGAGACACCACCTCTGGACCTTAGGCATGGCTGGCTGTCTGCAGGAACATCCTTCCTGACCCAGTAGGAGGCCATGGACTCATTCACTCTGATTTCTTCCCAAATTTGGGTGGAGAGAGTTTCAAAATTGTCAGAACTCTGAAGTTCAATGTCACTGGGCCCCTTGTAGTGTCTGTATAACCTATATAACCTTCTAAGTCCCAAATTTTTGATTCTGCAAACAATATAAGTATTCAAACATTATTTCAAGGTTACTGTAAGTGGTATATTTGTTTCCCAATTTAAGTTTTTATAGGTCTCCCACATCTGGGATGATGGGACAAAATGGG